TATATATATATAATGTGAGTAAAAAAATCTCAATTTGACACTTTTGCAGTGCCCTGTTAAGAAAAGTTGTGTCCCAAGTGAAGAGTCTATAATAAATAAAAGAGCCAAATTTGGTTCCCAAATTGCTTGATTTTAAGTCATGCTGTTTTTCTCCTGTACCCTAAAATGTTCAAAGTATCTAGTGTTGCAAATTGTCAAATATGATAGACCATTACCCATTTCATAGGTTAGGAATATTTGCATGCAAACTGGCAGGGCACCCTAAATTTTAAGAAGTTATTTATAACCAATGTTTTATAAAGGACAATGTTTTGTTACTATGAGGCCAAATTGGAGAAAGAAGGGCTGGAGATTTAGCTCAGTGGTTCTGCCACCTGTCTTGCAAGCGCAAGGACCCGAGTTCAATCCCCGGTACCAAAAAAAAAAAAAAAACTAAAACAATAGGAGAAAGAGTCCTTAGCCTTGAGCATTTGTTTTTTGGGATATCTTGCAGTGACTCATTTCAGTTAAATGTTTGTTGTACACAGGTGGCAGTATTCAAAGAACGAGAGCAAAAAGAGATTGAAGCTATGCATTCCCTGAGAGCAGCCAACCTAGCCAAGATGACCATGGTGGACCGCATAGAAGAAGTAAAGTTTTGTATTTGCCGTAAGACAGCCAGTGGGTTCATGCTGCAGTGTGAGCTCTGCAAAGATTGGTTCCATAACAACTGTGTTCCCCTTCCTAAATCAAGTTCCCAGAAAAAAGGATCCAGCTGGCAGGCTAAAGAAGTTAAATTCCTTTGTCCTCTTTGTATGAGGTCTCGAAGGCCCAGGCTAGAGACTATACTGTCACTGCTAGTATCCCTTCAGAAGTTGCCTGTACGGTTGCCTGAAGGAGAGGCCCTTCAGTGTTTGACAGAGCGTGCCATGAGTTGGCAGGACAGAGCCCGGCAGGCCCTAGCCACAGATGAACTGTCGTCTGCCCTGGCCAAACTGTCTGTGCTAAGCCAGCGGATGGTCGAACAGGCAGCCCGAGAAAAAACTGAAAAAATCATCAGTGCAGAACTCCAAAAAGCAGCTGCCAATCCGGACTTACAGGCAAGTTTATGATTTATATTCTTTTTCTGTTTCATGGGGTAATATTTGTCAGCATGTGGTTATTATCAGTTGACTAGGAAAACAATAATTTGCCTGTAATTATGTGATCAGTGGCCTTTTTCATTTGCATACACCCATACCATTTTCTAGGTATGTACCTAGGTCATTTTAATGAAGTATTATCTGGAAATATTATTCAGGTGAATCTTTGCATCACAGTCAAATAATTTCTACTAACTGCTAAACAACTGTTACCTGCTTTGCAAGTTCATTACATCTTGCTGATCTTAGCACATAGTAATCACCTGTGTTTGTTTAGTATGTCTCTGTTCATTTTGGAATTTTCTGCTATTTAGGGACACTTACCTAGTTTTCAGCAGTCTGCTTTTAACCGCGTGGTGAGCAGTGTATCATCTTCTCCTCGACAAACAATGGACTATGATGATGAAGAAACAGACTCTGATGAGGACATTAGAGAGACATACGGCTATGACATGAAGGTAATTACATGGGCAGGCTCGGTTTATACATACCTGCTCAGTGGATTTGTTTAAAAACAAACAAGCTGAATGCTGATGTTTGAGGCCTGAGTATGAAAGAGAAAGCTGGTTATATGTCTTGAGTTTATTGTGATACCATTTTCTCAGAACTAGAACTCTGTTTATATTTTCTAATATAAATAGTCATTATATCTTTCAGCCACCCCTTGTGTGTACATATGTATCTACTATATGTTTATCTGAAACAACAGTTTTTCTAAAAGAGATCAAAATTTTTTTTCCTCAGAGGGAATAGAAAAATATATACCTTTAAGTTACTGAAAGCTCTTGCAGCTTTCATTTTCATTTTTCAAAGTTTTTTTCTTTGGATGCTTAAGGACTATGTAGTTTTTGTATTTTTGCTGCGCTCTGAGTACTTTTTTTCTCCTAGTGTTGGGCATTGAACTCAGGGCCTTTACATTGAGCTACTACCTGGCCCTTTGCAATTTTTTTTTAATGTTGAGATAGGGTCTCACTAAGTTGCGAAGGCTGAGTTTGAACTTGGGATCCTTGTGCCTCAGTCTCTCTAGAGTGCTGGGATTATAGGAATGTACTAGCACACATGGCTATGCTGAATCTCGTGCTCTAGTCTCTTGTCTGAATGATACTAAGTAAAATGTCATATTTGGAGATGGGTAATACTAGGGCCTGTGGTTAGAATTTGCAGAGTTCAAGTTGCAGGTAGAGCAAATTACCACCATTATGACAGTTTTGATGATACCACATAGGTGTGTCAAGTTTGTGTTGAATCCAATTGGCCTTTCATTGTCATTTTTTGTTGGTTCAGAGTCCTTGCCTTTTAATAAAATCATGATCTAGGCCTAGGCACTGAATTATTTGGTTTGTTTTATAATACTTAGTTCCTTTTTTTAAGTAACCCAGGGTCTCCCTCTGAAGAACAAGGGAGATTTCAACTCTGCCCCTTGACTATCTTTTCTTTTTTACTTTTACTTTTACTTTTTTACTGGGGATCAAACTCATGACCTTGTGCTTGTGAGGCAGGCATGGTGCCACTAAGCTAAATCCTCAGCCCTTCATTGTTTTTTCAACATATGATCCATTAGGTATTTCTCATTCTTATAGCATCAATGTAACCAGCAATAAAACTCCTAGGATATAATATTAAAACCATCCATCATAGATACTTGTAAATTTACCTGCTGGAAAATTTTTTTCTCAAAGTAAAAATGGATCCAGGGAGTGTTTTAATGAGAGAATTTTCAGCTACATGAACTCAAGACTATGAAGACAAGTTGAAATTTGAGTTGCTTATTCAGATAAGCTTCTAAGTGCCTTGTTATTGAGGCATTAATGACCATTTTTGTTTATAGAGTTGTATAGGGTGACTGAGAATAGCTGAAAGGGAATGTAATCAAGGCTAAGTATAAATTAGCTTTTTACTTGAATGCTAGATTAATCTGTATGACATTGCTTAGTGACACAGTGTTAGCTTTGTAGCATATTAATTATCAGCTATTTCTCTAGAATTGCTGATAGGCTTAGAAGCAGTGATGGCATTAAAATAAAACATCACAAGTATCACATGGATCAAAATGGTAGTTTGATATGGCTTAGAGTAGTCTTTTTTGTTTGCAAAATTTATTTGGGAGTCTTACAAATCTCTTTGGAAGGGGAGATTGGCAGTGTAGAAAAATAAAATTATGGATTTTGTTTTGTTAGCAGTATATTTCACAGCTTAGAAGAGGGGAAGAAATGCTTGTAATCCCAGCCCTGGAAAGGCTAATGCAGGAGGATCACCATGAGTTTGAGGACAGCCTGGGCTACATAGTGAGCTCAAGGTCAGTCTGAACTGCATAATGAGACCCTGTCTATTGAAAAAAAGAATAATCTCAAAACTTATGATAATTCAGTTACATTTATGTTGATGATGCTATCTTTGAATGAAAAAAGTACTCAGCATTTTCCCATACAGCAAACACTTACTGTGTAATGATTATATTTCTTTTGAGATGAAGCCTGTGTTGCCCAGGTTGGCCTCAAACTCCTTGAGTTTAAGTGATCCTCCTGTCTTAGCCTCTCAGGTATCTGGGATTAAGGCATGTGCCACCATTACTATTTATGTAACGAAAGTTATGTTTAGAATTTATTTGGCTTGCTCCTTTTTCTCTCTGTGTGATAGTTCTTGTTATAACTCAGAATTCATACTTCACAATGCTTTCAATTTAATATTTTTACCTGAGGAAGAGCCTCCTGTAGGTTTAGAAAGAAGAGCAATTATATTATAAAATAAGGTCAGTCATTTCTTTTTAAGGCATATTATTTACCTTTAGTGAAAGTCTTCTATCTGTATTATATAGTTTGTATTTTGCAAATATGTATATGTATAAAATTATATATCAGAAAAGAAGGTGTAGAATATTAGTAGTTACCATTTCCCAAGAAATTCCTTTGTATGTTTAGTAACTGCTTTTTTTAGAGAAAAGCATGTTAAGCTTAGTTTCATTCTTTTATTTTCTTCTCCATACTGCTTAATTTTTAGGTAACTTGAATTTTGGTGGAAATTGAGTGGACTTTGTCTGAAGCTTTCATTCCCTGTAATTTAGACAACACTGCAATGACGCCTTTATGTAGAACATATTTCTCTCTTTCTTTTTCTTTCTTTCTTTCTTTCTTTCTTTCTTTCTTTCTTTCTTTCTTTCTTTCTTTCTTT